GAGCAAAACCCAGCTCAGCTTTGTGCCAGTTGAGGAGAATTCCTGCTGCAGGCAAGCAATCAGAGAGCAGAGGCACAGCAAAGCAGGGGAGGCAGGAGCACAGGGGATTATGGAGACAGGATAAGCCAGAAGGGATAAACCAGGAATTCACTGATAAAAGCAGCCTTGGGATATCCTGCAGGAACTCTGAACACCTCTGGGAAAAGGGCAGCAGCTCCTGAGTCAGGCTGGATTAAATCCAGATGCTCCTTTGCCAAGGGTTTGCATGGAAAACGCTGCAGGGAGGGACCCGAGTCCTCTTTAGGGCAAAACAGCTTTTAGGAACAGAAATTAAAACTGCTCAAGCTGCCAAAAATCCCCGAGTTCTTGGAAGGCACTGGACCTGTCAGCAGGAGGTTCTTAGTCTTGAGCTCGTTTTCCCAATTAACACAGGAGAGACTTAAATATCTACATAAATAAATAAATATATGATTAATTTATCCCATATAAATATATATATACACTTCCATGTATATACGTGTAATATATATTCTATATATCATTAATTATACTCTATACAATTACATAAAAATAATAGTAAATAATATGTTACTATAATAGTAAATAAATATTGTATTATCATAATAATTCTTTCTATAAAAATTAATTTATTCCATAAGAGCATTAATATATAAATAATGCCCTTAAGGGATATATATATAAATATATATTTAAATATATATTTAAAGAGAAATCCTTCACTTTGCCTTAACTGACTGTGTGGGTTTTTGCATTTTGATTCAATTTTTAACACTGTAACGCTAAAAAAAAAATATTTACAGCTGTTTCAAATCTTTATTTTCAAACAGCATCTTAAAGGAATTATTAAGTTACCCAAGTGCATCCTGCAGTGTCAGGCAGAGCACAGGTGAGGGAGAAATTCATGGAATTAAAATCTTCCCCCTCAAGATGAATTTCAGAGTATTGATATAATGGAGCACAAAAACCAGAGACAGTGGAGAAGGCAACAAAAAAAATCTGCTATGCTTTAAAGAGTTTTTAGCATCCAAAATATCAATACTGGCAGGAATAAATTCTAAGAAGAGCCTTTTGGGAATACAGTTATTTTGCATATTAAATTTAATTTTCTGTTAGTATTAAAAATCTCTTTTATATTATTTTGTCTTTATATTGAGATGAATAAATATTTCTTAGTACTAAAGGAAAATCAGATTATTTGCTCGTTTTTTAAAATAAATAGGAAACTGCTGA